GGCGTCTTTCTTGGAGCCTCTCTGTCGCATGATGGCCGCTATGTCGTAAGTAGTGACGCACTGAGTATGAGAATGGGCTGAACAACATATTTTGACGAATTAATTGATACTAGTGTTTGTAGATTGTTTCTTTTTAATGCACGCGTTTTACCACCCACGCGATTAAGGCCAGTGTGGTTGCTGCCGGTTTTCGTAGAATTATTAATAGGCAGATCCTAGCGTTAGGTAATTAATTTTCCCCCTTTGTTGGCAAATTAATTATTTAAATTATCTATAGACACTGGCGTTGGTAGATCTTTTTTTGAAAAAATATTTTCCCTATGTGCGGGCTTTGACAGGATTAAGGCCAGTGTGATTGCTGCCGGTGTTGGTAGATTTATTAACACCCAGATATCGATGATTTTGGGTAAATACTCTTTCGATGTTGGCAAATTAATTAGTAGATATCGGTGTTGGTCGATTTTTTTTATGTTTAATCTTTGCCTACGCGCCCGGTTGAGGACCCTGGTTTTGACGCGGTTTAGGCCAGTGTGCTCGCTGCCGCCGCTGACGTGGCGAAGGCGGTGTGCAGCACGCGAGCCGACGGCGTGCGCAGCGCCACGCGATGGCCCATGGCTGAAGGTCTGAAGGCGCACGTCGCGCCGCCCCGCGTCGTGGCCCAGACCTGCGCAACGCGCGACACCCAGCCGCGCGACCCCGCCAAGGACACGACGTGCTCTGAGGCGCGAAGCAGAACAGGAGTAATATAACCTTTTGCACAGTCAGAGAATACTGTGGTAAACATAGGGTGAAACAAAATCTTCATTTTATTCAATAGGTTAAAGACTCTTCTTAGTGGTTACTATGCTGCTGCGGTACTTCTCATCAGAACTTAGATACTAAACATTCAATTTAATTCAGAGAAAAATCTTAAAGAACCAAAAAAAATTAAAGCGTCTGAAACAATGTATATCAAAATGAGTACTTCGATATTATGATTTAATAACATCAAAATTATATAGTAATCTCAAAATTAAAAGAATAAACATTAGGTACAAAACCAATAATTTGCATCTGCTTCACCTTCACCTCTCCTGACTCCCACGCCAAACCTATCATTTCTCCTCTGTCGTATTGTTGAAACTGACTAGTTCTGTTAGCGAACAGTAATAGGCGCTCGAGGCGACGGCGTAAGAAAGTATTCATATTTGAAAGAACCTAACATGACTTCCCTGAATACAGAATAAAATAAAATATGTCACATGACGATGAACATACATTATCTACTCAAGAAAGCTTCGTTACTCACTGCTTTGCCACTCGCGAGGTGACACTTTTTTCTCGTAGATAAAAGTAGTTCTCGTAAATAAGACCTCCAACCGTCTTATGTATTCATTATCATCTCTACAGAGTAAATGTTTTTACAACCAGAGAAATACGTAGTGTGAATGAAAAAGATATTCTGTGATCCATATTGCCGGGAGGCCGGTCGGGAACTTAGAGCTTTTGCCGGCTGAGGCGATGTCCCGCTGGTGGGAGATACCTGGTTGAGGAAACACCGCTAGCCGAGTAGGTCAGCGCCGGATCTCGCCATACAGCGAGGGAAAAATCACCACCACCTCCCGAGCAGAAGCACGCGCTACACTTACAGGACTAATGGTCCTGGAAGTTCCCGGAATCACTAAAACCCGATCATGTGATCAAGGTGTCTATGGTTTCATTTCAAACCCCCAACTTGGGAAAATACAAAAACAATTAAACAGGTGCGATTTTGTCTCAGAAATGCAAATATTTGATTCTGTTATTCCGCTTATTCTCATAAAGCGCGTACCGACTGAATTCTCATACGCAGTGCATACCTACTTAGGACACTGTTGACGTTATGCGACAGAAAAGATCAGAGGAACGACCGCCAGCCATTAAATATTTGCTATACGGGTGTTGGGTAATGGGGCAACTACTCTTTTAATATTCTTGGTAAGTAAAGAGTTGTTACACTCAATATTACACTATACTTTTTTATTGTAGTATTCGTGAAGACTGTGGTGACTAGTGTTATATGATAAGCATTTAATTTTGTTTTGTTTTTCGTCAGAGTGTGTGCTACTTTTGGGTACAATGTTTGTTCAGTCGCATTTTTTTCTGCTGCATGTCACTAGGAATTATACTAATGCAGGAACTTATTTTTATTTTGTGTACTTCTAAAAAATTAAACATACCTTAACAATTATTTTAAACTGCATGTGCGTGTTCGACCTTTCGATCGGGATTTTATCTCACTCTCCCTTGATCCACGGCAAAACTGTTGATCCACTAAAATTTGCTTCTAGACACGGAACTAACTTTCCTCTCTTCGACAAATTGCATGCAGTTTTTACAGTTTATTATGGGTAATAAATGAATTCATGTTTTAATTATGTTCTAACTTGCAACAATAACAGATGAAACTGCCGCACAGTCGGTCACCATTCTTCTTTTTGTTTTTCAGTACTCTGATTAAATTAATGATACCAATTTCTGTTGTATTATTCGGATTCATCACAATTCATTACACAACAATGTGAAGATCATCTTTCGGTATGAAACGACCTGGGGCTAGAGTTGATAATAATTTAATAATTTGTTTTGAGGGAACTGCGCAAAGTTCCGATTACGAGCAGAGCATGAGAAATGGTTCATTAATAACTGTGTATCACCGCCATTTTTTGGCATTTTTTCACTTGATTCTTCTAGTAACGTTAAGTCAATATTTCTGAAGGAATTATTCGAAATGTTGGTTTTCAATTTTACTTACATCCCAATACCTTCCAGGGCCCTTCTTAACGAACTAGAATCAAAATCATATTTTGTAAATTCATGTATTGAGAATTTTTAATTAATTTAACATCGTTTTTAGTTACGTGATTTTAAGCGTGATTTTTGCACTTTTTATTTGTAGTTCCTTCAAAAGCTGATCAATTTTTTCTAGTAAGATATTTCAAGATATGATCTAAGTGTTTTCTTGCGGTCATTGCTGCTTGATAATTAGTGACGAGCAAATTATATTTTTAGCCAGGATTGTGTTGTGAGTGAAAAACTAGAATTACAGATAAACAAAATGAATCCTAAAAAAGTTTGACGTGTAGAGAGCCGCCAATTCGAACCGACTATAATAGCGATCATGTATCCGGGTTAAAATTCAGAAGTGAATCATCACAGTTTGAGAATGAGCATTGAGATATAACAGACGCTGCATGGGCATTCATAGTCCACTCGCATTTAATGAACACAATAATGGGGTTTGCTTTGTAGAAGTATTATTCATAGAATATAAAAATGCGAAGTCATTCTAACTTATGGTTTCAGAGCGACATGTGAACCTACCTGTACTGGTTAGCTTCGAAGAAAAAGTTGCAACTCATTGGTTCTGTTTTTTAAAAATTTTGTTTGTAATCAGCAGTTGTGAGTGCCGTTAATACGAGATTCTCATTTTTAAATTAATCACTTGAGCACTTACTAGTATTTCTCGTTTTAGAATTTTACTGTCATAATATTGGCAATATAAATGATTACATTGTGTTGTGCGATGATACTCATATGTATTTGTTTTTGTTACAGGTGAGTTGCATTCTCGCCTCTTGAAAATGACTGTCGTCATTGTACTACGTCAATGACTGTGCCAACTGTTGCGGTGAGTGCCCACTTTTCACATCATTTAAATTACGGGAACATTCTTGACTAAAATGTAGATCATGAAGTTAATGTTTTGCTACTAACATGAATAATATTATTATGTTTTTGATCAAAGGCTAGAATCAATTTCCATTCATTGGTTTTCAACATGGAAAATCCATTAGTTTTGAAATGCGTTTAAAATATCCAATAAAAATCCCTTAAAATATTCCGTACTTCATCCCCATTATAAAAAATCGTTTCTATTCTTTTTGTCGTTAAATAAAATTAAACGATTTTGTCATTAAGAATCCTTAATAAGCTTATGAAGAATATCTTGTAATGTATTGATATTTGTATTTACAAGTATGCTATATTATGTTTCTACATTTTTCTTTTTCGTCTTTAAATAGAATACCGTATCTCGAAGTGTGTTTGTTATATCTGTATACTTAATTGGTAATGGAAACCGCGAAAAAATTACGAAAAAACATCCCCGTAAATGCTTTATTGTACTACTACTGCTGGAACTGCTACCTATTAATGAGGTAACAAATTGCTATAATAACCTTTAGGTACTTCAATTATTAGAATGTATCATAAAAAATAATACTTTAATTCTAGACAGATATGAAACACATACCAGTGAGAGTGCGTAATAGTGTTGAATAGTTATCGCAATTATACCACAGGTGGTTAGAATATGGATTAAGTTACACTTCACTCCAGCTAAGTTTTCGTGACTGATGTTGCTTTCCAAGATCATGCAAAAAAATTCTTCATCATATAGAGCCCAAATAAAAGATAATCAACACTTTTCCAACATTTTACTTCAGAAAACAACCAACCTACTGACCGGTGCGTCCCAAGTCGTTCAACATAGGTACACGGCTTTCAATTCTATCCAAAGAGGCAGGTTCGAACCCCTTATTGATGTTGGTCCCTTCTGGCACGTACTCATTCTCTATTGATGGGAATCTCACGTTCTGCTGACTGCACAGCCCAGGAGCCGATTTGCTCATTACGATGTGCCTAGAGTAGCAGAGGCCAGCCAGTGGTTCGTGAGAAAATATTGAGTCTGCAAACAAAAAACAAATATCATTAATAAAATTAAAAATTATTCAAAAATTAATGTAAAAAATCCATACGCTTTCTTCAATAATCATTAAAGAATATCTCTCTAAATATCTGCTAGGTTTAATAAGCTTTAATAAATTTGTAATGATTAAACTAATTAATTATGTTATACAGAATACTTTCTGGAAAACATGGAAAATCGGGAAAAAATAGAGAATTTTTAGAACAATCGTTAGGAGTCAATGAAAATTTTGTGTGTTATAAAACTAGATATTAATCCGATTTTCATTTGGGGAGGAAATACTCTTAATTTGTACTTTGCCATGTAAAATCATAGAATTAAACAATTAGTTTTAGGATCGCTTCAATATTTTGTTTAAATGTAATGTGAAATTAAAAATCTTATCTGAAAAAAGTACAATATGCACTGCAAACAGGGAAAAGTCAGGGACATTTGTTCCAGAAAATGACTGTCCGGTTATAATTAAGCAATCTTACAAGTTTTTTTCTTGTGAAATTATTTTTAAAATCTGTGCGTACTCAGGCTATACTTTTAAAATGTCCGATGTAAATATTTTATGCTCGTGGATCCCTTTTTAAAATTATCAATCAAGTGGCCCTTGGGGGTCCGAATGCTTTGTTACCGTTGGTCTAGGATAGGAATGGCCAACGTTTAGCAATTAGAGGACATAAAGAGATGTACTACATTTCGAGGCATCCAAATGCAGTGAAATTCAATATTAATTTACTACACATATTCTGTACAAAGCGAAACGTGTAATATTGTATGCATAGCCATTGCTTATGTTGAAATAAAAGGTCGTAATGAACGTTTCATTATCATAAGAGATTAAAATATCGGTCGACTATGTAAATGAAAAGAAATATTCTGAGACCGTAGCATGCATTTAGTTTTGCCGTAGTTGAACCGTATTCATTATCTCTGATATCCCTGCGAAAGTGTTCGTTTGATTATTTTGTCAGTTACAATTTAAAGCTTTGTTCACATGCAATAGATAGGTTTATAAGATTTCCATCCGTACGGATTATTCCCTGATTTACTGTTTTCATAGCAGTCTTGCGATGTCTATGCGAAATCTGTTACTCTGCCTGCGAGAAAACAGGTTCAAAAATGGAGGTTGCAGAGTAGGCCTACATCTACGAGGTTTTAAGAAACCAATATATTAAAGAGTAGGGCAACAGTGGATGTTCTGTCTAGTTTGAGGAAAGAATGGTTGTTTCCAATGTGTGCGATACGTTCAACTCCAGGTCACCTTCTCTTGTCTATTTTAATTATATTTCTATTTTAATGAGATTGTTTTTGTTTCTAATTACATATTTTACTTATAATTATATATTTCTGTTAATTAAACGTCTATTATAATTGTGAATTAACGTTGCAAATGACAAAGAAGTTGCGTCGCATTGTTTTCCAGTTTACCCTACCACGTATTTCACCACCGCTCGTAACGATATTGGCCGCTATTTGTGAAATCCTACCGTGGTTTCAGTTCAGGGTCTAACTACGAATTGGTTGTACTCAAAATTAAGTGACAGATTTTCGCATTAATAGTTTGTGACGTGGAATGCCAAGTAAGGACAATTGAATTAAAATCTGTTAGTTATATCAGACCACCAAATCCAAATTTTGACGATTTAGGCATATACTTTCTCTAGATACTTCGAGTAGTTCTCCAGTAGCTCAATAATTCACTATAATTACTTCATTCACTATAATTATGAATTCCGGAGCTTCTCTACTTCTCTAATGAGCACATTGATGCCAGCGTGCCACATTGTTCACACCTAGCACTTCCGGCCACCGTTCGATGCACGCCTTCCGGTTGCGAAAGCTCAACGGCAACACCGTAGACCGGCTGCACAACTCTAATCAGAAGTTTTCCGTGGCTGCGCCGATCTATTCCAGGCGAAGGCCGGGTAATCTTGATTGGCGCGTGCGATACTAGTGCTCTCGAGGTAGCTACCTGTCGTCTAATATTTTCGTTCATTTGGAGGAGATATTCTGAATTTCATTATATGACTGATAGCACTTGAGACTGATGGCTCGCTCAACAAAAGCAATCACACATCCCCCCCCCCAAATGCATTATACGAAACATAAAATATAGTGTAATTGTTTTGACAATTTGAAAACAGTACTGTGTTTATTTCAACAATAATTATAAATTCCATAATACGTTTTGCACTTCAAACAAGAAAATCACAAATATGTGCTAATTTGACAGTGCCAAACGTTGAGCACAATAATTATATCAAATTTAAGGGATATAACCAGCGATGTTGAACTATTTTCACTTAAAATTAATTGAAGAACCAACAGACCAATTCCGTTTTTTGCTGAAATATGTACTTTAAATTCGAAGAAAAGTTGATAATTTAGGCACATATAGAGAATGTGATGACATCAAACCGCAAGAAACAAAAAAGGAAAATTGGAAGGAAAAAATCTAACTAGTGCTCCCCTGGATTATTTGTGCTAAGATAAACATTTTCCAACCACAAGCAAAATTGTAACTGAAATTATCGGAATAATTGAATACATTTTCTCTGAAAAAGTCAAAAACACTTCGTACTTTCGTTTGTGAGGTGGCGCCGGCCCCCGTCCGCTCCTTGTCGTCTTACGAAAGGGCTGAGACGGAATAAAACGTGAGAATAAACTAAAATCTGTTGCTGTCTGTCGAAGCGATGAGACGACTTCCAGCACGTCCGGCCATAATATCTTTAAAATATTATTGAAGGGCTTTTATTGAAGGGAGGCAATGCATCGCTCCCGCGAATGAATGAACTCGCGAAGGGCTGTTAAACTGCAACGGCATGGACGGGCTACAGAGCAGAACGGCCCACGGACCGAGCGCGACTTTTCCTTCCTTATCGTTGTCTTCTCTAACGCGCACACCGTTAAAATCACTAGAGAACAACACATTCGCAAAACAAGACCAGAACGTAGGCGTATCCCAGCCGCGATTGTGCCGCCATGGGAGGTGATACCAGGAGGGAAAACCCCGAAAGCCGACGTGTAGCTCTGCACCAAATCGCACGTTTCAGCGGACTTTCCAGGATATTATATGCACTACACATGCGGGACATGCGGGATATAACGATAATACGTTTGACGCGCCTGGTAACATAATATAATTAATCTAGGACACAGATTCCGACATGACTTGCAATGAAATGTTTACCAGTTCGCTGGCCCGTTTCCCGAGCCCTGGCGAACGCCTGCTGTCACAGCGTTTCGCTCCCTTCGCCGCGGCCGCGCTGAGAAGCCCGACGTGGTCCCGTCTCTCGTCGCGGCGCTGGCGGTCACCAGCGGGGGGCGGAGCCGGAGGGGCGTGGCGGGGCCGTGAGGGGCTGGGCGGAGCAGGGAAGTTGCGCGTGACCCTCATTTCCGGCGAGCGGTGGCGGCGGCGGCGGAAGAGGAGACCGTGGCGGCGACGGCGGCGGAGGCGGCGTCGAGTCGAGTGGAGTCGGAGGCGTCGGCTGCGGTGCAGGGCAGCCAGCCTTCCGTCCCCTGAGTTTCTTATGGGGCTCTGTGCGGTCGGGTGGTACCGTTAGAGGCGAATCGCATCGTCTTGGATTAGTGAGGACTGCGAATGCTTAAGGTCGAAACCGGCATTGAGAATGGTGCATCAGGGCCTCGATATGTATGCAGAGAGTTTAGTTAACCTAAGTGCTATTTGCATATTTATTGTGAAATGTTTAACATTATGTATATCATGACGATAATAATAATAATAATAATAATAATAATATAGTAACAATAACAAACCTTTTGCAACTGACAACACAATCATCTTATAAAATAATTAACAAGTGGAACGTATGGGAGGTATACGGTCTTCAATATAAACATGCGATATCGGGGAAGCTGAGATAGTCCTTTTGTTTTCTTCTGTGTAGTATAATAGACTAGCTGTACTTGACTTATATTAGTAGAAACATTAAATAAATCAGTAAGGTTCACATCATGTGCAAGATAAAATCGCTAATTCTAACTTACGGAGAGAAGTATAATGTTATAATGTGAATTTTCGTTTCATATTGACTTTCGTAATTATAGCACTCTTTTCTGAAACAATGCAATCGATTCTGTTGTAGAATTGTCAACAATTACAAATTATCCAATGTTACAACTGTGCTCGACGTACCTTGAACTCATTTCAGACACTATGCATACACAAGTGTATGTCGACTCGGGAGGTAATGCTCTTTGTGAGACAGAAATATCTTCCTTCACAAAACAAAAGACCTATAGCCATAGCAATAAACTAAATTTATTTTCCTAATGGAAAAGGAAGCGTGAAGGAATTTCATTAAGTTTTTAATTATCGTGTACTTTCTTTATTTTCCAGGAGATTAACGACGTTTTATTGATGTTTAAAATCATATATTAAACATTTTCACTCTCTAACCCGACTATAACTCATGTATCTTTCCGACCAGTGCACTCATGTATTTCTCATCATCCAGTGGAAGAGGAACACCGCCACCTCCGGGCATAAAATATTCACTACACTAACGGAACTAATGACCATAGCATTGTATAGTTGCCACTATACATCAGCCAATAATATCATGTGCCTTGATATTCTTCCAATGCATATCTTGTTTCTTGATATTCAATTACACATGTCGCTGGCGAAAGGGTATAAGCATTAAAAACAAAACAAGCAAACACAATCTAAAAAAATTATGTTAGACACAGGACTATTGCATTATCACTTGGTCCGAACTATTACCACAGGCCGGCAAGCCCAGGAGGTTGTGATTTCAGCGTCTCAGTATCCAACGTGGTATTTGTCAGAGATGTTGAATATTTTGGGGGAAAAAAGTTTAAAATATATAATTTTACAGAATTGTGGTGTGTTCGAGGTGGATTACCATTTCATTATTTCTTCCCTCATATTCTTTCAGATTTATGGAATAATTTGTCTGCTCTTCCTTACATCGAACAAAAGTAAATAATCGTTTAGTAAAAAA